AAAAAAATTATCCAACGAGTTACAGACCACTCTTTCCCCATGTAAGTCAATGGGAAAAAGTGTTTCCGGGCCTGGCAACCAAACGGAAGTGTAGTACCGCCGTTTGGCCAGCACGAATATTTTCATCTGAGTCCGGCGCACTTCCTGGGGGCTTGGTCCATGCTCGGGCTGCTTCTCAGGTCGATTATTTTCATTTCCTCGCTCCTCGGTCTCACCGGAAGTTGATTTGCCTGCGCCATCTTGAGTACCGTCCCATGGCTCTTATTTCTGCCGGAGGACCGAGGATCGAGGAGCGAGGAGCGATCATGGAGGAGCGATAACCGAGGAACCACCAGACCATCCTCCGATGAAATCCTCAGATACTCGCCCCGCCCCCTTACTGTGTATCGCTCACTGATTGGACGAGGCAGTGCATGCACTGATCTGATGCTTCTTGACATGAGAGCAGAGTGAAGAAAATACATGAACCTCACGGGAGTCACTCCTCAGTTTATACCGTGTTTTGTTTCAATTCATGTTTCATTTAGTTACAAATATGTGATATATCTGAACAACAAAGTGGTCAAAAATTATTTTATTCATTTTTTGGAAACATTTTCATGATCGCTTTTTTCGTTTTACATTTTCATTTATTGTCATTTCCATTCAGTCAGTCATTAAGTGCTATTGAAATGTTAATTTACTACATATCCAAACAAACACACAAAGTGTGCAATCCAATGAATGTTAATCTAACTGGGTTTTGATAGATAACATATCTCTTTTTCTTCTCTCAATTATTTTATTTCTATTGTGCACTCTAATCAATATTAATCAAACTATTGTTCGTTTATACATTTTAAGAATGGCGTTTATCTTTTTTGAGAATGAGTTCTTATTTTATTTTATTTATTGGGGTCTACAACAGATGATACAAATGTTTGTGTCAGTAAATGTGTACTAACAGAGGCGGGGGGTGTGTGGAAATAACGGGGACAGAGCTGCTGTCAGACGATCAGCTGTGCAGCGTCATCACAAACGGACGTCGCTTCACGTGACGCTCCGGAGGAAAGGACGTCCCATTGCTCTTAAAACTCATTTCCCTGCTTCGTGTGGTTTCCTTGCGTCCCTCCATGCTTCCCTGGTGGGAGGAACTAAACGCAGGGAAACGACGCAAGTGAGGGAAGCAAGGATTTCATTTAATCGACCTGAGAAGCAGCCTCGGAGTCGGCTTCGTCTTCTTCTTCTTCTCTCTGTTTTTTGGCGGATTGCAAACAACTTTAAGGTGCATACCGCCACCTCCGGAGTCGGCTTGACTCGGTTTGCATTTATAAAGAATGCACACATGTGTTTAATCGTTAATGTCAGATATGTACTAAGTAAATACATTTGTTCCTGCTCCAGATTAGATTCAACTTTATTGTTATTGCACATATTACAGGTACTGAGACAACGAAATGCAGTTTAGCTTCTAACCAGGTGCAACAAGCAGTAAAGTGAAAAGTAATGTACACAATCTACAGAATAAAATATAGAATGAATTTAATGATGAATAAACAGTGAGGTTATGAATACACTAGATATACACAGCAGCCTGTGAGCAGTATGAACAGTGTGTATGAATATGCTAAGATATATAAAGTATGAAAACGGTAAGCAGTGCAAGTATAGTATAAAATATATGGATATTCATTTAATGATGATAAATATTGTGGAACAATGATGAAAAATGTGAATGGAAGTGGCGACGTAAAACTGACACAAAACAACAACAACATTTTGCCCAGACAATTGGAGAGTTTCATCACCAGCACGTGGTAAAAACCACCAATGAGCGCTCAGCTCGAGATACCAGCGAGTCGTTTCCCATCAAGCATTTCGCTTCCGCAGCCCGTGGAGAGGAACTGCGCCGCCTCGCCTTGCTCTCAAGGCTGCAGGCGTCTTTATCCCGCGAGATTTCAACGTCTCATGTAGGCGAGCCTCCAGAGCAAGTCGGACACAATGACTAACCATCATGCAACGCACGAGCAAGACGTTGATCGAAATTGCGCAGGTCTGCGCAGGTCTCTCTTGTCTCAAACAAGCCTACTATGTAGGATGTATAATGGTCTATGCAAGTGGTGCAGTGACGCGTCCTAAAACCCGGAAGTAAGCTTCGCTCGGATTCCCTCGACAGAAAGCAGTGGGATTTTTCCATAGGATTTTGGAAAATAGCTCGAAATAAGGTCTGTGGAAAACGAACCTGTTAGATAAATGCACGTTGTGTTCAGCCGGATAATATCCACATGTCTATCCTACTTTTATGTTTTTTGAATCATAAATCTAAACGATAGATTTATGATCGATAAATTTATAATTAGCATAAGTTCGTTCATGATGGCTCACTTCAGTGATAGTGATGACATTGTTGCGAAATTATTAACCGAGTCATTTTCAAGATTGAGTTACAATGATAAACTGGAGTGGCAAAGGATCAGCTGAATGATCCGCAAGTGCTTCATCCAAAAGGACAGGAGGATGGACTTTGTGTTTCAGTGATTTGATCATCAAAGGTAGGCCTAAATCATTTTCAATGCGGGCCGCCGTGCCGATTTAATTCATTTGTAACGGCCCGTCCACACAGCGGCGTGCGTTGACGCTTGCCGGCGGGCGTGTCTGACACTCGACCAACAACCAATCACATGAATCTCCCGCCCCTGACACACAAGCAGCGGTTTGATTGGCTAGAGCTTGTACTGGCATATGATTCGATTGGCTGACGCTTCTGCCGAGGCGTCAAAAGTTGAACATTGCTCAACTTTTGCAGCGAGCCACGCCAGCAACGCTCCGCGTCGCTTCCCACGATGCAGTTCGGCTAAAAGTGACGTCACCCCATTCAAAGTGAATGGGCAGAAGCGTTGGAAGCTTCAACGCACGCCGCTGTGTGGACGGGCCGTAATTGCTACTTGGCTGTGGGTGCCCTGTCATGATAGGTGTTTATATAAATGATGTTGTTTTGTGTGGTAGAGGGTCGCTGTCATTGATGCGTTTTGCACCCCGGACCACTGTTTTGATATTCCGCTGAATTCTACGTTGAGACGTAATATCTCTTCTTTTTTTTCCGAGGGAAGGGGGGGTCAGAGGGCCTAGGTATAAAAGTCACGGCTCGCCACTGTAAGTAACAAATATTGCAGTTCCTTGAATGGCCACTTTAGGCTAGCTCCAAAAGCAAGTAAAGCTTCATAGAACCCTACGTTGAAATACCCTGCCTTATTAAACGTTTTTTAAGCCTGCTCCAAAAAAGGTTTGGTCTATTTGGCTATTTTCCTTGTTCATGAAAACTGCACATGGGGTGACTTTTTGTATAATTGCAAGTGAAATCCAGCTGCTAGCTTACCAGTTGACGTCATCATTGCGTTGTGCTTCTTCTGGCTAAGACTATAGCAGCTGCATATAACTGCTGCATGAAATTATTCTATATAAACTACTTGTTTGCAATCGCATTATAGAAAACTGCTGTAAAAAATGGCCAGAAGCTACCAAGTGTCAAGTTAAGTAAAGTAGTTTGGTTCACTTCTGTTTACAAAGTTAATTAGCTAGTACTCAGTGTTGATAGTCTGCCTGTCGGTTTGTGAATTAAAGTACAACTGTTCAAATGGACAAAATAGATGAACCCCTTTTTCATTTAATAGATAATAACTTTCAATGTTTTAATATGTGTGACCACCAAACCTGGAATTTCACGTTTTATAAATCTGGTGATTTGAGTAACAGTACAGAAGATAACATTTCAAATGAGACAAAGGTTTGAGGAAACCTCTACAAAACGCAACTGCATCCACTGGACCTACTGGGGTCAGTGATGACCAAGAAACAGCATCAGAGAAAAGTTGGAGCGATCATGACTTTACGTATGTCCCATTCCTGTAAAATTATATTTATAGTTATAATTTCCTTGTTGAAATGTCCAACTTTTGACCTCAAAGCGTTCCAGGTGCACAGCGCTCAAACAAAAACATGGAATATAATTTTGCTGAGAGATTTACCGTAACCAGACACCTAATTACATTGGCAACATATTCTGACATTATTTAAATGCAGAAGAGGTTTTTCTAGATGTAGCATTTTTTTATGAAATACAGGCAATTATAAAGGCCTTTTTCCTTGATAGTTAACCATTTGAAATTGTTGTGTGACATCAGAAACTAAATTATTCATAAAGCCGGATGCAATTGCCATGATGAAGTTGTTTAGATAATGTTGCCATTTGGGGTTTCTACAATTTAATTAGTAAACAAATGTGTAAAATCAGTTGAGTGGCCCTGGGAGAGGTGTTGTATTTTCCTAGATGGTCTCTAAAGTATTAACACACTGCAAAAATCTCAACCGACACCTTCTTTTCCACACTGTATGGAGCCAGCCTTGAAAACAAGAACAAACTATAACAGGCACGTATAACTCAAACACGAAAAACAGTTTAGGGACAGCCAGAGTCTCTTTACTTTTGTTGTCTGCAAAAATCTCCCAGGTTTAACAACTATAAGTCATAGTCTATAATGTCAATGGTTAGTTATCGTTCTGAGAATGTTTTGAGGTTCACTGGCGATCTCATTTTGAAAATAAGTGATGAATAAAACATAAAAGACAAGGCCATCAATTGCCAACAACCTTCGGACATAAGGGAATTTTCTTGGATAATGAACTCTAAAAAATATATTATAACTCAGCTCATTTATCCAAAGCCAATTAAACCAGGTCTCTCAAAAGATTCAATTTGTTTTAATCAATATTTTCAGTCAGCCAGCATCATCCTCCAAAGACACTCTTCTGCTCTGTATCACAATAGACATTTACATTTTAAATCCTACACTTGTTGTTGGACTTGTAATTGCTCTCAACATTTGAAATGAATGAAATTGATGAACATTGATCCAATACTTTTTAAATCTCCCACAACCATGCATCTTCCAAAGTGAATTTCTCACTTTAAACTGTTGAGTTAAGCTAATAGCATTGCATTGATGACCAAACGGAAATTCATGTGACACTCATAAGGTGACACTCATAAGGTGCCACTTGTTGCCGTGCAACCAATGGCTCTCATCAAGTTCTCATATCTGATTTGACATGTGTTTGTAAGGCTGATGGGAATGGCATTTGTTCAGCTTCTTGCAATGAACAATATAGCTTACGGATTCCAGTGAAGGCACACCAGAGAATCCAGGCATCATTTCCTGTTGTGCACTGACAGATCTTTTTCTCTGACTTGTTTTTCTTTAATTGCGCAGGTACTGATCTGTTGCCAACATTTATTTTCATTTTTTTCGGCTTTTATTGGCAATGTTTGATAGTAGTCATAGGACATATTTAGATCTGGACTGTTGAGGGAAGGACTGATGCCCAAGCACATGGGCGCCTCATACAGCTGTGGGTAATTGGGAACCAGGACTAATAGCTTGTTCTCAAAACTTTCCATCATTGTTGTTGCTGATGAGCAGCCATGCGCACGTGATCGCGTGCTTGGGGGGTAGCCGAGATTTGTTTTAAATGCAGGCTACAGAAATTAAAGGTATTGAAATGGGCTGATGAGCTTTGACTTGCACCAATGGTCTTCACAATTAAAATGTCACGTAGTCTATTTAGCACCCTCAACTTTGATATAGGTCACAGTAGCCATGAAACTACGCTGGAAAAGGCGGTCAGGGTCCGGAGGCTGGTTGTCACAGTCCAGCTTCCCCCTCAGAAAGTGTTTCCTGAAGCCTTGAGGACCAGCAGGGGGGGCGGTATGACTCGGCCCTGGTCCTTGTGGACTCGATGTAGTGCCTGGAAGACATAAAACTCACATAGAAACTTGTATGTGAAGAGCTTGTCAGATAAAAAAACTACCAAAAGGACTACTATTTAAAGAACTTGCTTTACTATGAGAAGTCAACACATGGGTTCTATTGGTTGAAATGGTTACTCAATTTACAAGTAACAGAAACTAGAAAATTCAGAGACATTATGACTGTGTGACTGAAAGTTGGGTGCGCGTCCCGATGCTAACATGAGCAATTATTAATAGCATTAGTTGTAATGTTAAGTACAACAAAGAATATCCATTAATTTTAGCTCACTTTTAGCTGACTAATTTAACTGTTTATCTATTAAATGTTTGGATTCTTGTACCACATTCCTGCATCGTTTCTGAACATCTTTAGAATACCACTGGATTTAGATAACGACGACAGGTGTTTTGAAAGATCAAAGCGTTTTTTTTACTGCTCCTCCCCCTCTAGCCGTGATGTCACCCACTCTAAGTCTTAACCAGCTCTCCCATTCATTCCTATGGGGCAAATGATGAAAACCGCTAGGCGAATCTCTTATAAAAGACATAGCAACCCGATCCCTGTAATTCCGCACGTTTTGATGTGTTTTTTGTGTGTTTCGTGTCAACACTGCCGGACGAGTAGCATGACAACATTTGTGGCGGAAGAAGGAGAATAAGATGAGACTAAAGAATGCATTTCCTGCTGAAAATGCATGCGAATGCTGTAAACTGTGTACATTTGTTGCTGAATTTAGCTGAAAATGCAGAAAAAGCTGAATAGTGTATTAATTGAATGGTCTCTGTAGCTGCTTTTAGCTACACAAACCAAGTAAGTGCGTTGCTGAACTTAGCGGAGAAATGCAGAAAAGTGAAATGATTTTAATCAACATGGTTACAGCTCAAATGCATTGCAATGACTTTGTTGAAAACTTGAAAGTGAAATGTTAAACTGGAAGAGCAGGAAAAATAGGGAAGAAGCTTAATATTTAAAAGAAAAGGTTTAAAAAAGGTATAAACAACAACACGTATAGCCTCATTTTCCTGAAATAGCTGAATAATGTAATAGTTGAATGGTTTCTGTAGCTGAAAGTAGGCTGAAGGAGTTAGATATTAAATGTAAGTAGTAGTGAATTAATGTGTATTAAGAAGAGAAAATAAAGTAAAAAGGCTTTGAAAAGCATCAGAATATTTTAACTGCAAACATTTTTCCACTAAAACCATATGTCACACATAATGTATAAAATATGTGGAACGTGTTGAAGTCAGTATGAAGTCTCCATCAGACAGAAAAGAATAGGCTGAGACAGTCTGTTAAAGTCCAGTATGTTTGTCAGTGTTTGTTTCTGTGCTGAGCACCTACTCATAACACCTAATCAAAAACACCTGTGTGAGCCCAGAGATCAAAGGTTTCCATGGTGATGTGCAGTGATCTGTGAGAGGAGAGCCTTTCCATTGATCTGAATGAGAGATAAACCTCTTACATTTAAAGGTTTTGTTGAAGAACCGTATCAGATATCAATGTGTGGAGCAGAGGTTGCGCTAGACTTTTTCGCTGCAGGACAGGATCGTAAAAGTTCCGTCAAAATCCAGAATTACCCGTCGGCCTTTACACAACTCTGACGAGGGGGGGGGGGGGGAAGCATGCTCGTGAACTGTCAACGGAGGGGGGAAGAGAAGAGACAGTTCACATGCGCCGTGTTATGCGTGGCTGCTGCACCTCGCGGGAGCGTGCACAGCATAAAGCCAAAACTCACAGACATTTCAATGATTTGTACGGCACAGTTAGGTTTGGAAACGGTATAATTTCCTTTTTGGAGGGCATGCATAACACGGCATAACACCGGAGCCTCGCTAAGGGGAAACTTTGGCGCTGTTCCGAGTTTGTTCTAATCTGTCAAAATGACGGACTGCTTTCAGATTTGTCCGTCATTGTTAAAAAAAATCCGTCATAGTCGGAAAATATTCGGTTAACGCGACCTCTGGTGTGGAGCACCTCAGGATCCTAAGGAGTGTCTCAGTCTGCTTTTTGTGTACTTTCTGGTCAATAATGTGGCTTTTTGGGCAGATTAACTAAAGGTGTGCGGCTGGTGCTCTGAGGAAAGATCAGGCTGAATTTACAATGGGCCTTAATGGAGACATGTTGAAAGTTTGTGTCACGTCATGCCCTCAAGAGGCATTTTGTTTAATTTTTTTGCTTCATTTTTTTTTTTTAAACCTAAGAGAGGTTTTGCTACAATTCAAGCATACAATTATGTCCCAGGAGTGTAGGGTTTGGGAATTATGGCAGTTTTAAAAGAAAAATGAAGGTGAATTCGAAGCTCTCCTCCACTCTATCTGTGACATCACGCACTCTAAGCCTTAACGAGCTGCGCAATACACACTCATGTTAAACTCTGAAGAAGGCCTCTTTAACAAGCTCCAAACTAAGTTAAATATCTCAAAAAATGTAAAAGATATAAACAATCTGAATAAAAGGTCAATAGCTGAATGTCTTGTGACCGTTTTAAAGTTGGAATGAAGTCTCTAGCTGAAAGTATGTGGAGTAGCATTTTGTGCAAGTTGTAGGTAAAAGAGGATTTGAAGGTTCCTCCCATTGAGTTACATGTTAAAAAAATTGTTTATAAAGCTGAATATTTCAAAAAGTATAAAATATTTTGAAAAAGTTGAAAGTTTCCCATCATCTGCTGAAAAGGCTGAATATATTGATATTTGAATGGTTTCTGTAGCTGAAAGTATGCTGAAGTTATTGAGAGCCAAACTTTTTGTTGAAATAATAATAATAAGAAAAAGATGCGGAAGAATAAGTATACAGTAAAACAGCATTCCACTAATAAGTATGTTCAATACTATACTGTGTGTGGCTTCGCCGGTCACACAGAATTCAATTGTGAAACACGCCCGTACAATCTCATTAGACATCATAGGAAAATACATGTGTGGGTGTACTTGGGGTGCAGAGATTTTAATTGAAATCGTTTAAAAGTCAAATACTTAAGATTTACCGTATATTATTGCTTTTAAACAAAGCAGCAGTTGTCTTACTGTCCATTTCTAACCTATTTAGATGACATATAACGGCCCAGATGCTGCCCCTCTGATATACAGTATACTGTATACGTATATATACCTAATGTTTCTGGCATTCTTTTATTTAAAGAAAATTGTGAGAATTGGTTATTTCACTGTTCTCCTATCTATTATTCCATTACTTTTCCATTTCTGCTGATGACCTTTGTCATTATTGACAAAATGAAAAAAGAGCATTGAATGTATTAGCAGTCAGTTTTAAGAAGGAAATAACAAGCTTGGAACTCTGAAAGGTCATTTCTTTCAAAACCTTCAGGGTTTTATTGAGATTTTAGCGGCATGCCTCCTGCAGAGAGACGGAGCTGCGGTCAATACCTGGAGCTCTGAGTGGCAGCCCATTGTCCAGACCTCTGGGTTTAGTGGTGATGAACAGATAGCAGAGGACACACAGAGTGACGATGAAGGCCAGAAGAACCACAGCTGCAACAGAGAGACCTACAAGAGCTCCAAGACTGTAAAGCAGAGAACAAAGACACAGGAGGACTATTATACATACCTTGCTCTGAAAGACTATAAATAACATTTGCAACCAACTGCAAAAGTTTAAAATGTGGACACTGATTAGAATAGGTAAATATTGCTATCTATTTTTGATTAAAGGTGCAATGTCCAATGCCTGGACACAAGCTACAAATAAATAGGGGCAGACTATACTACTGAGTTTAGGATGGCTAGATTAAAGCTAGCGACCAAATCAATGTCTGATTCGTGTGAGAAGTTAAATAAAATGATGCGGAATTTCAGTACATGAGAGGGAATCTGAGTGAGAGTTTGCTGCTAGTGAGCCAAAAGTGGTACCAAACCCATCTACTAGATCTTTACAATCTAAATTAACAGTCATTAAAAAAGCCGATGAGAAACTAACGCAAGGTCTAGAATCTGAAAAAATACAAACCAAACTGCTGAAACTCTTAGAGCTGATTAAAAAAAAAACAAGTCCACGAGGTAGTGGACTAGTTTAGCCATCTAAACATAATTTACATGTTAGAATGCTAGCGTTAGCATTGAGCTCAAAGCAACACTATGCCTCAGTACAGCCTCACAGAGCTTCTAGCATAACTAATTTGGGAACATCCAACTTACACTTTCAATTACCAGTGCATACGTGCATTCTCACTGACTAGTGCTCGGATGGTGTACTGAAAATGGTCGGAAAGCTGAGCGAAGAGCGCTGGACACTGCACTCTTATCGGTCGCCATCATAGCTTTGTATGGGGATGGAAAGTTCCATTAGCAGTTGCTCTGGTGAAACAGCACTTTACAAATGTAAGTTAAGTACCGCTGTAGCCTATTGTTTTCGGATTGAAGCCATCAGTAGGTTTATTGGGTTGATTTAGGAATTAATTTAGTCTGTAATGATTTGGTACTGTGAACAATAAGGATGCAAACGGAGGCAATTGTTATTTCCGTTGAGTGTACAGCAGCCGTGATTAATCTGAAGACTGGCTTCCTGTCTGTCAAATAATTTATTTCATAATACTGCTGCTGGTTTATAAAGCATTGAATGGTTTAGGGCAAAAATACATTCCTGATCTCCTGCTAAATGATGAACCATCCGGATCTCTTAGGCCTGCTTTCTGTCCCCAGAGTCAGAACTAAACGTGGAAAAGCAGCGTTCAGTTACTAAGCTCCAAATATCTGGAACAAACCTGCAGGTCCGCTGCAAGTCTTACTACTTTTAAATCCAGGCTGAAGACTTTTCTTTTTGTGCAGCTTTTAATTGAACTATTCATATCTCACACTGCACTGTATCTTTTATTAATGTATTTTCTATGTTTATTTTATTATCTTTGTTTTTAATGACTGTTTTTAAAGGCCATTTTATAATGTTTTTCTGCTGCACAATTTTTATGTTTTCATTTTTGTAAAGTAATTTGAATTGCCTTGTGTAGAAAGGTGCTATATAAATTACATTACATTACATTGCATTTAGCTGACGCTTTTATCCAAAGCGACAATAAGTGCGTTCGACCAAGAAAATACAACCTTGAAGAAAACAGAATCATATACGTACATCAGGTTTCATAGAGCCAAAACATTTCAAGTGCTACTCAACTGGCTTTAGATAAGCCAGTCCTTTATTAGTATATAAGTGCTTTGTTAATAGTTCTATAGCTCGAAGTGGAGTCAAAAGAGATGAGTTTTCAGTCTGCGCCGGAAGGTGTGCAAGCTATCTGCTGTCCTGATTTCAATGGGGAGCTCATTCCACCATCTTGGAGCCAGGACAGCAAACCCACGTGTTTTTGCTGATGGGAACTTGGGTCCCCCTCGCAGTGAGGGTGCAGCGAGCCGTTTGGCTGATGCAGAGCGTAGTGCACGCGCTGGGGTGTACAGTTTAACCATGTCCTGGATGTACGAAGGGCCAGATCCATTCGCAACATGGTACGCAAGTACCATTGTCTTGAAGTGGATTCTAGCAGTTACTGGAAGCCAGTGAAGGGAGCGGATGAGCGGAGTGGTGTGGGAACATTTTGGAAGGTTGAAGACCAGACGAGCCGCTGCATTCTGGATGAGCTGCAGAGGTCGGATGGCACATGCAGGTAGACCAGCCAGGAGGGAGTTGCAGTAGTCTAGGCGTGAGCATAAATAAACTTGCCTTGCACTGTTGACATGCATGCACTATGCAAGTACTGTGCGCAAGTGTACACAGTGTATTTAATGGAAGTGTAATAACGGAAGTATCCAAACTGAGACGCAGTTGTTTATACAGTGCTGATGTGCTGCCCACTATTCTTGCAAGCGTGTGTATTTTGTTTAATTTAGTTTAAAACTGATTATTCTTACCCTTTTCTGCTATCTGGCTTTTGTATTTTCTATTTACAAACAATACTCAATCAAGGCAAAAATTGTCAGAATGTGAATTTGGATCCTGTTGCTGCTTATTCTCATATTCAGTGAGTGTGATTTGGTTTGAATAAGTGAAGTGTGCGCTTGCATCCTTAACACTTCTGTCCAACCTGATCTCACCAGATTGCGTGACTCCACCACGACTCCTTAACACCACATTGCGTGGTGGAGTCACTAACTTTGTTACATTTACGTGTCGGCACCACGCAAACAACCCCAATGTAAAGTGAATTACCTTGGGCGTGGTGCACACACGCATTTCTACAACGTCCTGCAGTGAGCTTTGTATTCTATAAAACGTTTTTTAAATCTACTTTATAGCTTGTAATAACTCACGGGAGGCTTCTTTTATTTTATTTGTATTCATAATCATTTGTATTTTTCGTCAGAATGTAGGCCTATTATGGCGCATTAGTTACCAATTTTTGTTCTCAAAAAACAGTGCATTGTGTGTCATGCATTCTGGTGAGATCAGGTTGGACAAAGGAGCCTCATTCACTTTACATTGGGGTTGTTTGCGTGGTGCCGACACGTAAATGTAACAAAGTTAGTGACTCCACCACGCAATGTGGTGTTAAGGAGTCGTGGTGGAGTCACGCATTCTGGTGAGATCAGGTTGCTTCTGCCAGGTGTTAAATGATGTAAAGATGTGTTTAAATATTCATTGTCTCTGTTTGCTAGTGTTCTTCAAATCTAAGAAGCCGATTAACTGAGTGATGTGTTATGTATTCATGCCTCATTATACGAACGTCTACTCTATGCTTTGAAACAGTGTAAATGTGCTGTATTATTCCAAATGGAATTCTTTTTACACATAATTACTGCTCAGAGGCGGTTAATTTCACAGGCTCAAAGCTCCTTTAGAAATGTGTTGGTAACATGCTACATGACTTGCATTGTGATAGGATTACATTCAATAACTCCTGTCCGGTGTTCCCAGCAAAACCCTGAACAGGCTCCAGTACATCCAGAACTCAGCTGCCAGGGTTCTCACACGCACCAAGCGCTGGCAGCACTTCACCCCCACTCTCCTCAACCTCCACTGGCTCCCGGTCAAGTCCCGCATCACCTACAAACTCCTCCTCGTCACCTACAAGTCCCTCCATGCCCTCTCGCCTCAGTACCTCACAGATCTCCTCCACCCATACATCCTGTCCTGCACCCAGACTCTGGCCTGCTCTCCATTCCCCATTCACGCCTCCGCACCTTCTGGGACCGTGCCTTATGTGTCGCTGCCCCCACCCTCTGGAACTCCCTCCCTGCTGAAATCTGTAACGCCCCTTCTCTGAACATCTTCAAATCTACCCTGAAAACTCATCTGTTCAACATCGCCTTCCAACAATAACTCACTTCCCCCCCCTGCAATGTAACACTTCCATTTCTGCCCCTGTTTTATGTCTTGACTCTTGTCCTTATATGTTTCTTGTTAAGCAACTTTGGGTTAATGAAAGGCGCTATATAAATTAAAGTTATTATTATTATTACTAATAATACTATCCAATTGTATCGTGAAAAAATTATCTGACTGTCACAACATTAATTGTAGGATCTAAAGCTCATAGAGAAGAATATCAAGCTGTGATGCCCCTGTGGGTTCATCTGGAGAGGGTGTGGCTGTGCTGCATCCAGCCTCCTTGATTGCCCTGCAGTTATTTAAAGCCTCTGCTCCTCTCTGCAGGCACCTGGTTGTGTTGAGTATGCTATGAGTTTCTTCAGTTGCTTCACTTTGTGCACTTGAACACTCTCACTCATACATGTCCATACAATCCTCACCCTGCATTTACACTACTGATACCACTGACGTCCACACCTCATACTTTACTTGTTTGGCACTTAATTAATTTGGTTGATTTGAATGTTTTGCTTAAATAAACATATTTTGTTAAACGTTGATATGGTGTGTCTCCTCTTTGTTGTGGCTTTTTGAGCCAGGTCATAACAAATGGGGGCTCGTCCTACGGGTTATTTGTAGAACGTTTGGTTAAAGGTTTGTGTAGCGCTCAGAGCACATGGTGTCATTGAGCAGCTGAGTAGTTGATGTAGTCCAGCTGTGTGCTGGCTTGGCGCTGCTATTTGGGGACACATCTTGTCTTTTGTGTTTCAGGAAGCCTTAGTGTTTGACATGGCGTCAGGTTTTGTGTGCCAATCAGAGGGTAAGATGTTGCTGTTTGAAACGCTTTTGTAAAGGGATTTACCCGCTAGGCTTACAGTAAGTGGTGTTTGCCCTTTGGTTACGTCTGTTTGTTTTTTTCATAGTGTTGTGGTGACATATAGTGTCAGCTGTTTTCGGACAGCTGTCTCGGGGGCACGTCCGCGTGACGAGCAAGAAACCTGTCCTTAAGTGAGTTTTACTGTTCAGGGTTTGTCACCAAATCTGCATTTCATCATCTCAGAAATAATAATGGCATGGGACCAATACTGTCCCTAAGTCAAACAAAGACTAATGCTGTGTCTAAATTCAGACATTTCCCTTAGTACAACAGCATGTTCACTGTGAACTAGTGATGGCAAAATGAAGCTTTGAATGAAGCATCGAACCACTTGGACAATTGTGTCGGAAATAGGTTCATTTCTCGAAGCTTCAGTTACAGCGACCTCTCCTGGC